GAGCTAGGTCAACCGACGATGCCTTCGCCACTTCTTCTATTACAAACCATCCAAAACGGAAAAAAAAAAAAAAAGAAATTCATCATGTTTGATAAAATACTTTTACTCATGTCGGTTTTAATCTTGCTGTTACCCTTGAGCTGATGTGGTCTTGAATTAAAGCACGTTTATCAGAAATCACTAACATCATAAAGGCTTGCCAGTAGGGCCTATGCAGAATCATGGGATGCTTGTATCTGTCGACAAGCGGTTAGGGTGCCCTCACCTGGCAACGTACAACATGATGCCTGTAAGTATGCAGCGCCCTATTTCCGAGCTGGACCGTCTTATTATCAGCGTATGTACACCTCGGCGAGGAACGAACAATTAGGAAGAAGACACCTAACGCTATTAGAATACCATGAATATGATGGTTACAAGGGAAATTGGTGCATGGGAGGGGCAACAACGATTGACGGTGACAATATGCATTCCTCCTGTGTGCGGTACAAAGCGGTTGACTCATGCTGCATTAACCTGGACCCAGGCTCATATTCGTTTGTTGTCAGGTCCTCCAAGGGATGCGGTTAACATGATTGAGTTGTTTGTTTACAGTAATCATTCACACCCCAGTAGGGAAAACCAGGAAGGTGTGTTTGTTGCTATCTCGAGAGGGATGAACCCCTATACACACGACGCGGAAAGTACCAAGGCTGCAAATAGGCTGTAACAATGCAATGGCTCAAGACTCACATACATTAGAACAAAGCAGTGGCGTGAAAATTCTGTAAATTATGCATTAAAAACCACTCAACACCACACAAAAACCGGGTCTCACGCTGCAATATACACTCCCCAATTCAGGAACAAGTCTCATCTAAGTCAGCATATCTTATCCCTACGTATAACCTTTATAGTAGCATAATATAGGTGAAAATAACTATAGGCTTAATTTCCCTTAACTATACTTATTTCTAGATAAAATAAACTATAAAAACTTTTAAATTCCTTCTCTTAATTATAAAAAAAGTAAGAGATTTCTATAATACTTTTTCTATTAGTTTTTATACTACCTTGATATTAGTAATACTTATAAATAACTTATTAGAATTTAACTATACTGTTTTCTTTTAAAATAGTAACGTACATGATAAGCGAGTGAGACAGACAAGCGAGTGAGACAGTAAACCAGACCTTCGCGACAATAATATCGAAATCTATAACAAGAAATCTTAGATTGATTAATACTACTCGGATTCCTGTTCTTCGGATGTTTCCTCAATAAATTGACATGTTCTCGCGTTGTGGCCTGTATTCCCGCATACGCCACACCGACGATGAGTCGTCTCAGACCTCACTTTGCGACCACTACTCCGTCGCGTTTCCTCTTGTAGTTGCGTGTCTGCCTCTCTTTGCGACTGTATATCCTCTCCAGTAGATATAGTAAGACTTCCTCCTTTCTGTAGACGTGTTTTCTTAGCCCTTCGACGCCGACTTAATATTGCATTCTCCTCTCGAAGGATTTGAACCTCTGACTCTAGTAATGCTACCCGATGCCCTAGTCCTTCTGTCCCTCTGGCTAGCTTACTCACAGCACTATAAATTGATGCTGGAGAGCTGCTTCGGTGGCGTGAGATTCGACTCTTAATAAAAGTAGACTGTGATCTTGCTTCGCTTGGGTTGCTCGGCGTCCTAGAGATCCAAGGGTCTGGTGTCTGAGGGACCCCCTCCTCAGGCGTTGGCGTTCGGAACTTTACATCCAGCTTTGAGAGAACACTTTCTGCATTCAAAGGGACAAGTCCAGCTCCTCGGAAACCTCCCTGGATATTTTTCCTCGTAAAAGACTGCTTAAAAGCTTCGTGAAATGCTGCAAAGAAATCTTCCTTCGAGATATGGGTTGTGCCTCGCCGCATCTTATTCTCAATTTGCCGACCGTAGGCATTCTTTAACGGCTGAAAACAACCAACATCTAAGGGTTGAAGTAGATGAGACGAGTGAGCCGGCATGCACAGTGTAATAATGTTGTTTTCTTGACAAAAGAGCTCGAAGGCTGCGGAGTGGTGACTTTCATGACCATCAACAACGAGGAGGCGATATTTCCCAGACGTACGTGGTTTTGTATAAATGTCGAAGTGTCTGATCCAGTCAATACCTCTCTCGTTTGTTGTCCATCCATTTTCAGACGTTGCAATAGCCCAATCGCCCGGAAGAGAGGTTTCTGTATACCAGCTTGAGAGGTGATACTGGCCTGCAACGATGATGTATGGCGGGATGCTCTCCCCTTGGGAATTAATAGCCTGGATAACTGTAACCCATTCCCTATTGCCAGGCTGTGTCATCTTCGTATTTGAACGCCTTTCAGCACTTGTAACAACCATTCCAGAAGCAATAACGCCCATCATAAAGCCGGTCTCATCAAAGTTGTAGATATCAGCATCAGCAATACCATACTTCGCAATTGTATTCTTCACAAGCGAAAACCAGCCACGAATCACCTCTGGATCTTCGCATTGAGCTCTCTTATAGTCATACTTGCGAAAGAAACGCGTCCTAAGCTGTGGTTGTCGCTTGACGAAATTAGAAGCCTAGCGCTTCCCAACTGGAGGCGCGTCGCGCTCTGCGAGAAGTCGATTGGCCATTTCTTCCACACCACTCAGCCGGGGAGGAAATGATCGCGCATCTAGGTCGAGAATATACTCAACTATTGTCTTCTCTTCTAAATCTGATAAATTCCGTGAATTAGGCATGCTGTCGCGTCGTGAGACTATTCCCTTTAGTCGCCGGCTTAATGTTGCGTGACTGACTGTATAGAGTGCACCTGCGGCCCGAGCACTAAGTTTTGGGTCATTTCTCATTGCTTGAAGGGCAATTTGTAACCTTCTTTCAATACTAGCTGATTCCATGATTTATTGTAGAGGAAAAGGTGCCGGTCGCGTCAAGGTGCGACGGTCGCGGTTTACTGTCTCACTCGCTTGTCTGTCTCACTCGCTTATCATGTACGTTATAGTAATCTCTAGTTTAGCTTTTAATCTATTAACTTACCTCTCTATTATAATAGTAAGACTATTCTTCTTATTATTAGCTTTCTTTAACTTCCTAAGTATATATTATAACTTATCTAGGAGGAAGCTATTATTAGTTTATTAATAAAAAGCCTTTAGTTATTATTATATAAGTTACTTTCTTTTTTAACTAATACTCTAGGGTAAAAACCTATGGATAATTTATATATATATACTATCTAAGAATAAAATATTAATTTTTACTTAAACCCTTATTAGATATTATAGAAGATTTATAGCTCTTTTCCCTTTAACGCGACTTAGTAATGCTTTAGATAGTGTTAGAATCAAAGCCATAGCCCTTGTAGTATATATGCACGCTGATCTAAAGGCGCCTTAGGCGGCTAATCTCCGGCTTTCTTAGAGTTAAATTTTCTATCTGATTTTAAGGGAAGTTAATTTAACGGCATAATAGAGATTCTTTGAATACTAGGTAGCTGATGCTCTCCGCGTACATGTGTTGGATCTTGTCCTCATCTCACTCCCCTGTCAGGGGACATATAGTTGAGAAGGTGATTCATCTCCTTCAAAAAGCCTTTTAGTACCACGATGCTCCTCGGTTAGCGCATGAAAAACTTTGACCTGCGCCTCCTTAAGCTTCTACGATCAATCCGGCTGTTCTTGACCAGATTGACTCAAGGCGGATATAAGCCCAAAGGCTCCGTACAGGATGGACGTATCTCTGAATAGTATCTCAACAAGAGAAGGATCGCTTTCGCATTAGAGAGTACTTATTGCACGATGAGAAGCCTAATGTCACTTTCAATTGGTAGGGGCAGCTTGGAGGTATGGGTATACCGGGATCAGATGACGATATTTACGGGCCGATAGACCCGGTGCTCATTATGGTTTGAAAGACAGGTGACATTGCTTAAACTTTACCTACAGGGTGATGGACAGAAAGTTAGCTGTGGGAGAAAGATTTTGAAGTCAACAAATCATATTATTATCCGACAATAGTGAATCATCTAGTTTAATGAATTCACTAATGTCACTGGAGATTCAGGATCTTCGACTGAAAATATTCTTCTTGAATCATTGCGTAAATCGGTCGCAAAGATGGCGCAGCACCCAAGAGGGATTTGTGATCTCATACGAAGTATCTGAAACTTATCTGGAAAAAGATAGTAAACTATTCAGTCTACAAATACAGGGTACATGAATTCCCTCGCCGTTTTCTATTCTACAGGTGGTAGTGACTTGCATTAGAAGCTGTTCTTAAGTATTCATAGTAAGCCAACTTGGTTATCAAACCCTCTGCGCTAACTTCAGACGTTTCTTATAAATGGGAGTCGTTTTTCCGTCACCAAAAATCTTGCGCAGTATCGTGAGTTTAAGAGTTCGAATGTGTGACAGTGTCACTCTGAGTGTCTTTGTAGGACTTTCTTCGTTCGGTAGCCAGGCGATGTGAGCCCAACAAATGTGGGACCCGCAGGACTTTTCAAAGGCGCTAGATCTCGCTCTCGCAACAGGCTTCTTTGGTTTATTTTTGACTTTTGTGTCCACGCTCTTCTCAGCCACAATGAATCACTTTCCGGCTACGACGGAGCACAGCCAGAACCACGTATTGATATTAGAAAAGTCTAGAAAATGAAATAATACAGGTCCTTCAACTTGAGCCAATTACATCCAAGGGCACTTAGGCTGGGTGAATGGGACAAGCCCGAGTCAAGCCTGCCAACAAGTCAGCTAATCCCTGGTGGTGCTGTGTTGGGTGTGCGCTCGTCAGTTGCAGGCTTGGAATACGCGTATTTTGAGTCGGATACGAGGAGAAAATCCATCGTCCGTCAACTATGTTTTCAGTCACCACAATATGTTTTATAAGGCAGGAAAGATTTCCTCAAATGCTGTCTTGATTTATTCAATCCATCTTTTTTTGGTCATAAACACAGACAGAACCCGCCACTGCTTGCAGACTCGTTCAATCTTTCACCCGTTGATCTCCAAATATTCAACACGATGCCGGAACTCAAGTTGTACAACGGCTACCCTCTTTGGGAGTATGTCCCGTCTTTACCGGCGGGCATCGTCTTCAGTGTAATATTTGGGCTGGCCACAGCTGCTCACGCCTTCAAGCTCATCCGTAATCGCACATGGTTCTGCATTCCTTTCGTCACAGGCGGAATTTGTAAATTTGTTCAGTCACCCCAGCCGCATGTCATCGGTGGCTTACACGAAAAAGTTGAGGTCATAGGATATGCTGCGCGAGCTGCCGCACACTACAATACCGGCATCCTCATTCCATATGTGCTACAATCGATTCTCCTCCTGATCGCGCCAATCCTCTTCGCCGCATCGCTGTACATGACCCTCAGTCGAATCATCCGCGCCGTCGACGGAAAATCCTGTTCCATCGTACCTCCTAGATGGCTCACGCGGATCTTCGTTTTTGGTGACATCTTCAGCTTCGTCATCCAGTCAAGCGGTGCGGGCCTCCGTGTCCAGGCAGGCAGCGGCAAAAGCAACATTGATCCTAAGATGGGCTCCAAGATCATTGTTGGCGGTCTAGTCTTCCAAATCATTATCTTTGCCTTCTACATTGCGACTGCCGTGTCGTTCCATGTAAAATTCGGACGGCTGGCGGTCTCAGATGGCATGCAGGTGCCCTGGAAGCAGAGTTTATACATGCTTTACACCACATCCGCATTGATCATGGCCCGAAACATTTATCGCGTTGTCGAGTATGCCATGGGTAACGATGGTTATCTGCTCAACCACGAGTGGCCCGTGTACGTTTTTGATGCCGGTCTCATGACGCTTACTATGGCTGCTTTCTTCTGGCGGTACCCTAGCAGCGCCAAATTGAGCAACGAGAGCGGTGCAAGCGCTATTGAGTCCGCCGCCGAGAAATAATTTGGTGAAAGCCTGGGAATCTTGGGTTGTTCTATGGTTTGCAATGACCTTTCGATTCAATGACTGCGGGCGCAAACACAATAGATTCGAACCTGATCAGGGGGCTCTTCATGCTAATTTGTGGGGAAGGGCTGTCGCATGTGGGCGGAGGAGAAAGATGCTACCGCTTTGACATCATTCTATGCAAGTTTTTTGGTTTTGACAAGATGGAGAGGCTTTCATTTATCATATGTGGAGTTGGCCGCGGAATGACGGCGTCAAGATTAATTGTATTTCATAATTAACAAAGGCGAGATATTCTATCGCCTCAGTTACATTGCCTCCAACCCCGCGCCCCTTCTATACAAACGTAGGACAAAACTTTCGATCGTCAAGTTTGATCCAAGGATGCCTCATAGATGTCATTAAATCTCAGAAGAGCGGCAAGTCAAGACGACGGAGGAAGATGGCGTTAGAAAGTGGCCTGATCTACTTGCCCCTTGATGTCCATGAATCAGTACATGGATTAGCGGCCTGCCATTAGCTGTATGGGACCCTTTGGAATGACCAAAATCGAGATCCAAGCTCCTAGTAGCTCAGGTCCCTTCTCATTAAAAGGAAGATAACTAATGGGTTTGGCTCCTTCGGCCTCAAGACTCGTCTTTTCCAGCCACCTCAAAATCTAATGCAATGTACGGAGTGGAACTGGTTGCTGGACAAGGTCTATCCATAGGTAGGTAGCTAGGTAGTAGATAACAGTTACGTTTCGCCATCAACAAGCCCGTCGGTATCCTGGCCTAACTGGGGGCAAGGCCAATGATTGCACCCCAAAAGCAACATGCATCCTGCAAGTCCTCGAAAGCACACTGTATTTTATTTAGCCTAGAAATGATTGCACACTAATTTCTAACACGCGTCTTACAGTGTGCAATGAAGGCTATGTCGTCCTCAGAAGCTCTCAAATCCAACATTCTGACGTTCGGTTGCCTAGAAGCAGTTTATTAAGAAGTAAGATACAATATCAGATGGTGGACGTTGTTTTCATTGCAACGGCACTGAGAGTTGCATGGTACGGATTTGGCCATGATATTGAGCGGCGTGTCTCATTAGTATGAGACGAATATTTGGACAGAGAAGATTAAAGTTTGTGCATTGCTCATTTTGACTTGTTGGAGTGGTTTCCTACGGTCACAATACTCCGTTATTCGAGCATTCAGGTCCACACTTGTCCTCCACCCCCCATATTATTTGGAAACAGACACGCTGCAATTTGCAAACTCATTCATCCGGTAAGTTCGTTGACTGCTGAAGGAGTCTTCTTGCGAGCCTCGTTCGTACTTAGATTGACGAAAAACAACCCAAGATATCGCGGCTACCCAAATGCATAAAAGACTGTTTTTGCAAGAAAAATGTCAGCTCGAAACCAGGACTGCTAGTTGAGTCGAAAGGACCAAAGCGAGATAAGTGGGAGTGGCGAAAATTAATCCTCAACCAACTGGAAAATGGTAATCGAAGTGACTTACGCCATGATAACACTGGCTAGAACGATGAACCAGCCTATGGTGCAGCTGATGCCGATACAAACCATGGAAAGACCCCACAGCGTCACGACAGGAACTGCACACCACATCACTACCTCGAGGGTGTTGATAATGGCGTAAGCCAGTGGGCTCCCCCATCTTTGAAAGCGAGGTTTGTGCTCGGTTAAATGCTGGTAAGCGAGAACAAGAATGGTTTTGCCGCTCTAAAACGTGTGTCATTAGGTGCCATGAAACAAGAGTCTCTTATTGCAGCACTAACCATGCTGATTCCAACCAAATCGAGACGGTTCATCGGGATGTAGCTCGGTCTGGTTGCAATTTTCCCAATAGCGAGAGCCATGACCAGCACAATCATGATAATCTGTCCGATGTGGGCCTTGCTCTTGTATCGCGGGTCAGAGAAGCGAGCGAAAAAAGAGTTACTCATGGTTGTGGCGGTTTTGACTCTGTGTTTTAAACCCAGCTCTAATAGTGAGTAAAAGATGAAGAAAAAATAACGGGATATTTCAAATAAGACTGAATGAGATGAAATGAGAGGCAATGAGAGCTAACGCGGCGAAAATTTAAAACAAAAGTCGAGCGAACAAATAGGCAACCGAAAAAGAGCGTGAAGATTTCGAACTGCACGAAGCTAGAATAACATGTCCGATGAGCACCAAAACCAATGTTAAAAGTTGTTGTACTACTCAAACTTAAATATTGATCAAAAAATGATACGCCGAGTTGGAGAAGTCGTCAAAAGAATCTATCAATTACAGACACGAGTATGGTACGGCTGAACACGCTCTTAGAGTGGATCTTGCATTCAGAGCCAAGCAACTAGCGTGCGTTGACTTGGTTGTGTGAAATTGATCGAATTTGCAGCAGTTGGGCTCCTGAACATACGCGTATAATCAACCAATAAAAAGAGTTTCAGGGTCATGTAAGCGGATGACCATGTTAGTCAAACCACCATGGCTTGCCTTCGAATGTAGAAGTCAATCCTGAGTAGATGAATGGCCACAAGTCTTCCCTGGCTTAAAGATATCAGCAGCATCGCCACGACGAGAGATCACTTGGAAAACTTTAAGGATACATTTGCAACTGGAAAGCGTCATACGGGCCGTGATCGGTAAGGTACTTGGCTGAACAATGCATCTATTAAGGCTTAGCCTGAGGCCTTAGACAGCAGGCGGCGCAACTCGCGGAATGGATAGCCTCACCGCGATTAACCCAAGCATTAAAGACGAGAAAAGCTATTCTTTGAAGAAACGGTTTGATAAAAGAAACAAGCAGTTTGATTCCCGTGGCAGTACGATTCGTTATAATATCTCAACAGCCCGCGAGCCATTAGTACATTTCTACAAGGACACCCCAATGGCGCTGCTTCAACTAGGTACCATCCGGGAGCCCTGATCTGTGACGATCAAAGGTACAACAGAAAGAAATCGTATGGGCCTAAGTCAATTATGGAACCAATACATCGATGCTGATGCAAGCCAGGCCCCAGAGTCCATGACATGTAGATCCAATGAAGCCGTGTGGAGCTTCACTCGCCTCTAGCTGCTGCTACTGGTAATAGCCATCCATCAACTCTGTGCCACTGTGTTGATCTACTTGGCCGTTTGATGAATTTTGTACACATTGTAGCTACAAAACAAACAAACCATCACATACATTTCCTTAGTATTCAGCTTGCCCAACCCAAGACCAGTAAGAGAACGCCACCATGATAATATCTCAGCATTAAAGTATGGGCGGCCTTAACCAGGATCAGATTGCTTGAAGATTTCAATGTTGAGACGGATTGGCATCTTTCAACGCTGGAGCACGCACCTTGCCATGGTCTGGGGGGCCTCTGTGGCTGGGGCCTTGAATCTGATTTTTACTCGCCTGATTTGCTCTCGGCCCGCTTTAGGGACTTGTGGCTAGCCCCAAGTCTTGTCCCCTCTTGTTCGAGGGCCTGAATTGTATTGAACACTGAATGCCATTTATCATTAGGTCCCAAGACCATACCTATATAACACTATTTCCTAATTTTTTGAAGATGTAGGGAGACTGCTTCCGTGGTGGCTTAGAAACCCTCCCAAAGGCAGCACCTTAATGACATCTACTGCATCTTGATACTTACCACAGCAGAACATTTGAACGTAATCGTTGCTGCTCTTCAGAGACGACAGAGTGCTGTGGATACGGAAAATATCAGACTAAGAGAAATTTTTGCATGAAGGAACGGACTGAGGCCCTGATATAAACTTTCTCTTCAGCTAATCGATGTTGCTTGCATAATCTACAAATCGCCAGCCAGTATCGTCTTGATCCCTGGCATCGAAGGGCTTACTGCACTTTCGAAGGTCTGCCCCTGTAGTATGGATTGGACCTTTCCTTGCGGCATGGCCAAGGCACTCGCGATTTGGACTTTCGTCGATGACTTGAGCAAGTGTCCTCTCATTGATTGACTCGTGTGCTGAGATATCTGGACCTAGTTATCGTTATCCACAAGAGGTAAGGAGACAGCACGGACCATCCTTGGCGCTTCGGCATTATCCGAATTCGTAGCAGGCGCCAGCGAGTCAGATTTGACGTTCGCTTTCGCTTTACATAACTTAAAGCGTCAAACCAGGCTATTTAACGCGTGTTCCGTGCTGCTTCCCGCGTATTAGTCTCCCTAACACCCGTTACCTTCAACACTTCGACAATCACAACAGCACTTTGTTTCGGAATCGATGACGAACAACGACAGTCGTTCTTCCAAAAACCCCACCACTTTATACCGCGCTTCGCATAAGAAGTCTCGGACAGGCTGTCAGGAGTGCAAGCGGCGTCATGTCAAATGCGATGAAAGGCGTCCAATATGCGCCAAATGTCGAGCATTCAACCGAGTTTGTCAATATTCCCATCCGTCGCCAAAAGGTACCAAGAAAAGTGCTTCTGCCACCAGAAGCTATATGAGCGATTGGCTGAATGGAGGCCAATACCCGGAGTCAGGCTCGGGGCCCTCATCACCCCCCTTGAACGTTACAAGCGTCATCAACAACTTTATTCTTCGCAAGGGGGGAGCAAAACTACCTAGTCCTGAGACCAGTCAGCCATTTACTATAGACCATATATACCTTCTCAATCACCTCTTGACTGGCAATCCGGTCTTCACCGTTGTCGATGATTTTACGAAACCTTTCCTCAAAGCAAGTCTCGATGTTGCATTCGTCACACCGTACGTCATGGATGCTTTGCTGGCCCTAGCAGCGCTGCACTTGGCTGAAGTCTTCCCCTCCAAAGCCGACCATTACAGCTCCTTGGCAACAAATCTCCAGACAAGGGCTCTCGAGATCTTTAATAAAACCAAACCGGACCTGTCTGATACCACTTGCGTTCCGCTTTTCCACTTCACGGCGGTCATCGGCATCCTAGCGTTACACAAAACTCTGCGGAACCATCGAGAAGAGGGGTGTTTCCAGGATTTTCTCGCCAGTTTTGCCGACTACCTTGATATACATCGGGTCGTACGTGGTATCACAGCCAGTATGTGGCAAAATGTCCGAGAAAACTTTCCACATCGTTCGATGAGCGCTATAGATAGTGGACGATGTTCAGATGGAAACCCGGAAGCAATAGCACTTCATGAGATGCTGGATCAGAGCAACCTAGAACCAAGTCCACTGGCTGCATGTCGGGAGGCAGTCGAAGTGTTAGGTTTTTCATTCGACACGTACCGCAGCCTCGCCAAACAAAGTGCCCATCGGTCTCCTTCCGTGATGGCATTTGGCACACGCATTAACATTGAGTTCATTCATTTGCTGCGCCAATATCAGCCAGAAGCATTGATTATCATTTCATATTATAGTGTTCTGCTGCAGTGGAGTCGCGACTTTTGGGTCATCGGTGATGCAGGTCAGTTTATGCTGGATTCCATTTCAAACATGCTGGATGAGAAATGGCGCAAGCTCTTGGTTCGCCCTCGAGATATGATGTTAAATGCCAAGTGCTATGAAGCACTCTCGCAATAAAACCGTTGATCAAAAGTGCCCATCTATGACCGTTCCAATTGCTGTTTCTCAACGTCACCGTCCAATGAATACTCTATCTATACGGCGAAGTGGTACCGGGCCAAGTAGCTCGATCCCATTTATTCGATGTGAAGCTTATTGATCCCCGGATGGTGTTGCTCTGATATCCCCCATTAAGGCGTCCGAAGTTTGCAATTTATTTCTGATCGAATTACGGAATCATGCCTCCGAAAGTTTGTACTGATGTATTTGCCCTGTATTTCTGCCAACTTATACTCACCCGGCGACGATACTCTGCATGTATAGTTCACATTCGGACTCTTGAAGAAATTCGGCGTCCAAGTAAAGCCTTCACCGATACCATTAGAGAGGTTAACGGATTATGGGATGGCATCCATTACGGATCTGATTGTTTGCTGTTGCTCTAACGTCAAGTCTGTAAAAACTGTACCGTAATTTAACAGCTGTTTTTATAAGAGTCGAAATCCAACAGCGCGTTAATGTCTTACTTTTTTATGTTTCTTTGAGTTCCGTCATAGCGCAGAAACTGGTACGAGGGCCAAACCTGAACTAGAGCGTCGATGCAACGTTTGGAGATACCATGGCAGATCATATCCGCCCTTTGGTTCTCAGCTTCAAGCAGCTGAGCCATGTTTACGACGTAGGGCTCACAAAAGCACTTTATTTGCCCCTACATGTGCAGGTTGCTTCTTGAATAAGTCAAGAGTTGATGGTTTGAATGATTGCCGAAGTCTGGTAAGGAATGGTCAAGGAGAATTTCTACGATGTAGGCTTCGGCGGAAAAGCGGAGTCGGCCAAATTTACATGAGAAATAACTGGTCGAGTTAGTTGAATACTCACAGACCCTACCAAATGGAGTAGCGAGCGCTTCATCAATTTTATGTGTCCTCGTAGCCATGTTCTGCACTTCTCTGTCTGCGATCCCTAAACGAGCTGATCCAGTCTGCCGCCTCGTTTGCAACCCGCAAGCGATCTCAGCGACCATTCGGCCCTTCCATTATACCACAAGATCACCATATACTCATGCTTGAACCATACAACCGGCTTTATTTTGCATAAAGCTGAGTCAAAAGAGCATTACAATATCTTGTCCAAGTGTCTCAGACGCAGGATGAAATCAATCAAGCCGGGCCCGCAAATCCAGAGTATTCTGATAGTCAACGTTTTGAGGAACTGGCTTGGAAACACTTTCCTAGGGACTTTGAAAGCAGGTATATGACAGGAAAGGCCATCAGATCTTCGCAGTTGACTTCATTGTGGTAGAACTTACAACAGATGATTGGCCAAGACAAGACGGTGAACTGAGCAGAAGGACATTAAAGAAAGGGCTCACCAAATCGAACTAATGTAAGGTCCTTTTTTTTTTGTTCATATTGTCGCAACTTGATACATTGTTTGAATGAAATTAGGTTTTGTTGATCATCATTATTCATGGAGAGGATCAGTAACACCTTGCAGAATTCATAGCTGGCTATCAAATGCAGATCTTGCACACGCACCTACGATTGGGAGTTTCGTTCTTTAGTATATTATGTTTGCTCTCCAGCATGTGAGTTCTTGTCAATATAACTGATGCATTGACCATTGGCACATCTCCAAACTAAACCGAGATCAAGGGGATGTAAATCTGACAGCGCCTGTTGCAACTTCATGCTTAGTAAACAACAAACAACCTGACCTCTATACTCTCCCTGGGCTCTTTTGGAGCGGGTCCCGGTAATGAGAACGAGGTGTGTGCCACAACTTGTGCTCCCTCAGAGTCATGCTGTAGGAAAAGCAAGACCTCCTCAGGCGTCTGGTCGGCCATGTACCACCAATCATGACGTCTTTCAGCACCCTGTGGCTTTTGCAACCAGTAACCCTCGACTCCAGGACCTACCTCAGGTTGGGGAACAGTCAAGTAGTCTTCCCAGGCCATTGACGTAGTGTCGGCCACGGTTACCGGGTTCTTGCGCACAGTCTTCAACGGCCTCCACGCGTTGACCATTTGCCAGTGCTTCCCATTAGTGTGCACATCGGCATGCATGTCAGGACAATCCCAGCTCATCAAAATAGGCGCGAATTTGCTGGTGACGTCGACGTGCGGTCGTCTGGCAGGACAACGGTGCTTGCGTGTATAGGCCATCCCGTCTTCATATGTCACGTTGCGCACAACGTGATGAAAGGCTTTTACTTCTGATGCACCCAGTCTAAGAGTTTGGAGAAAGCTCTCGTCAGTCAACCGCGACTAAAACTTCGCATTTTCAGAAAGCTCCCGAACGACATACTGTTCTTTCAGCAATTTCTCTAGTCGCGGAAAATAAATCTGTCTCACTCGTTCGTCATCCAGATAGTCGATCTCCGGAGGTTCGTCTAGCCGCGCGTATTGAAATCCTGTCGTAGATATCGAAAACTTGGTCGTCGTTGTTCGGGCGTTGCGGACCGCGGCCGGCTGCGAGTCAAGGAATTCGGCTTCGTGTGAAAACATTTGGGCATGGTTCGGAATATTGCCCTCGTCATTTCGCTTGACATAGGGAATATCCACGGTTATTACATCGTGGGCAGCCATTTTCGTGTAGATGAAAGACCAAAACTTGACATGCGAAAGTGACGCACGTGGCAACGCCAGAAAATCGATTGAGCTGCGTCCGTGTCGACGAGCTAAATACGAAAGGTTTTTGGGCGTCAGGAGTACTCCGTGGTATCCAGAAAGAAGAAAAGAAATGGGGTATGGCGGCATGCTATCTTTTGTATGTATTAAATTACGCGCGAGTCATCTCGCAACTCCCGCATGTGACCTACGTGGAGAATCAATGAAATCTTAACATTTCGGGAGATGCCTAATTTGGTTTGGACTATACTGAATAGACCTGACTCGTCTAGGTGAGTTCAGTTGATTACCTAGGTGAGAATCCCCATCGGCAGGCGTTAATCACAAAACGCAGGAATGACATGACGTTCCATTCTATTGAACCAACACACAACGGCTTCGCGTGTTAGAAGAGAAATATCAAGGAACATCCTGGACGCAGACAGAACCGCAACCATTAAGGTATACACCTACGTGATGTAGCATCTCGGCAGCCATATTTATTGCTGTGGGGACATGAAGGAATCTCTTTGTTTAAAATACAGATTCAGTTCCGACTTGAGTCTTGCAATAGAGACATCATTTACCGGTTCTAACAACAAATACTCAATTGCATTATACTTGTAACAGCATTCGGGCAAACCTGCACGTATCAGAAATGGATCTAGTCATAGACTTTTGTTAGCAAGGCTTCACTATCAAATAAATATTTTTTTATTTCCAGACACAAATGCATATCTCTTTCCGATCATTAAGCTATCAATAAGCTATATCGAGAAATACCCTAGGAGTTCGCAGTTTCAAAATTCACTGTCCTTAACTCTGGCAGACACAATCACTCATATACTTTTTTACTTAGACATCCTTTTAAATGCCTGATATATTCACTTAAGAGCTATTTGGCAAATTTGCGGTAGAGCACAAAGTCAAGCTTATCATAGTCATTTTATTCTATAAAAGATACTTAATGCGTTATCCTATCCTTCTGACCCAAATCATGAGACGGTTTCTCGTGTATCCACTTTCCGGGCAAGCCTAACCGACATCGGCAGATCGCGCCGATACCTTATCATCTGGTCTTTCTCCGCAATCATTCAGCAGATCCTCACATCTGCCGCCAATGCACGCCAAGTAGCCACTGCAACTCGGAGTTGATAAGAGAAAGGGTTCTAACAACATTCTTCTTCCACAAATGTGGACCCTTAGCGGGGTATTTACCCGCATTATGGGACCGTTATCCGGAAAGCTGGTTCCTGGGGTTCTGATCTCCCCGCCTTGTGCCGAACTCCTTATCTCTACGGATATTGCAGACCACAGTACGTACGTGATAGTTCTATGAGTATAAATTGAGAAATGATATTCAATCGCCAACACACCCAAGTACAGCATAAGTTCTCTATCACCCAATCACTCTCTTCTTAGAATTTATAACAGTTGAAAACTATCCAGCATGCTCAGATCGTTTACTTTATTGGCGCTGGGTGCTTTGAGTGTTTGCTCAGCACATTTCGTGATCCCCAATGATGACCAAAATATGTCTGGTCTAACAGTCAACTCGATCCCGGCCGAGAAGCGGATCGAGTACATGAGAAAGGTTGGAAAACAAGTCCCGGGGCCAACTTAAACCCTTGCTCACAATTTTGCAGGCTAACGAAGCCCTCTTCCGGCAAAGCGGGCCGTGAGTATCCCAGAACTTTGTTCTACCTTGCAGTGCAAAACCCAGTGTTGTTGACTAAAAGCTTCCAGCTGCCCCTTTGCAGCTTTTGGCACCATAATTGTCAACCACACCAGTGACGAGATTGTTTGTGAAGGCGCAAATTTCAGGACCGGAGACCCTACAAGTATGCTGCGAGGCCAAATGGATCGACCTGAGGGCTAAACGTGAAACAGTCCATGGAGAGATATCCGCCATCAATGCCTGCACTGCCAAGTTCACGGAGCAGGGCTTGACGCCATCGTAAGTCTATTCTCGGAGTGAGTGAACACCGTTTCTCTAACAATAATCAAGGCAAATCTATGCGGCATGGGGAGACCTTTCTATCTACACCAATGCTGAGTCATGTCCAATGGTCTGAACCTAGTATCATTCAAGCCAGCACGCAAACTAACAGTAGGCAGTGTGCAAGTGCCATTCGATGGGCAGGATTTAAAGGTTATCTGAACAACTTCGCGCAGCATAGGGGCTAAATGCTAACAGAAAATGCCACAGAGTACGTATACGGCACAACAATTCAACACAATTACAACGTCGGTTGGGGTGTAATGACCCTGAGTAGCGTAAGTTATCCTTGATTTGTGTTGGTTTCAACTCGCTGATATCGTTCTCAAGTACGACGTCTTCCAGCAGTCTCGTCAACTTCCCGGTTATCAAACTGTTATGATCGGACAAATTCTGACAAACGAGACGGACCCCCTTTTCTCCTGGCAATACAATGCCAGCGCGCCTTGTCCGAATGAATGTTTCAGGGTTCCAAGCGCAACTAGAGGAGGAACGACTTGCTCTAATGTCACTGTGTCCCGACGGGACTACGATGCTCTGTGAAGCTTTTTGTTTCGGAGGCATTAAGATGGATTATATTCTTTGCAAGTAACGTTGTTCAACAAGTTGCTGCGAGAAGAAATATTTAGAAATCTCTTCGCGATGGGATGCTGGAGAGAAACCTCAAAAGCACTCAGTCGCAGTAGGAAAAAAAATAATCTCTCTTATGTACTTGATTTCTATGAAATCGATCCATATTGCCCTAATTTGCATTTTTAAACTGCTTTGATATCATGTTCCAGTTCCAAAGTTTTACCTGCGCTGCCACACCATTGTCGTGTATTCTTCAATATCCTTGTCAGATGACGGGACTCTCATTGTGAAGGCACCCTGAACTTGGACTTGATGTCACTTAGGGCTTCTACCCGTCCTCTGTCGTACTTCGGCTCTTCTACTATAATGTCGACTGCCACTTCAGGAAACCGATTGGCAAGATGGGAAAACCCAGGCGCGCTTCGTACCGTGCTGATGTCAGCAACACACATCTGCGTAAACACTTTTCGTAAATTATCACCAGGTGTAGTGTTCAAATATGCTAAAGCAGTAAGGTCGAAAAGATAGTTATATCCAGTGGAGGAAAGCTTGACCATGACCAAGCATCTGTGCAACTTATGGAGGCAAAGTCTCTTAAGGTTTGGAATGTCCCATTTATCCGCAAAGATATAGAGCTTAATATGATGCGAACAAACCGTATAAAAGATTTGCCGATTTGAAGTCCCGGATGACGTCAAACCCAAGCAGTCCAGAATCAGGCGAGCCAGCTGGAGGGCCGTAGCATCTTCCTCGATCTCCACTCCGAACGAGTAAAGCGATGTACATCAAGTTTGGCACTTTTCTGATAAAATTGGGGCGGTTTGAGTGAGGATAATAACGATCCTGGAGAGACTCGCAGTCCTTCAGGAGGCTCTGATTCGCATCGGCCTCCACTTGCTGTTCTCTATGTGTTTCTGACCCCGTAACGTTATAGTCGTTGTATATGACAAATGAGAGAAAGCTCGAGAAAGTAGCGGGTTCTACGTCATCGAGAACAACCAAACCCTGTTGGGATTCTTTCATTCCGTTACTGAACATCCTCGTGAATGCGTTTGAGTGTGGGACGATGAGCTTCTCCTGAACATGAAACTCCCTCTTCTCGGTTCCGATGACGAACTTAAATACTCGCGAAGTGAAAACACTATGGGAACCAGACAGGTCAGTTTGGTTCGAGAGGCTCATATTTATCTTGTGAAAGTTGACGCACCTCTCCGTGTCCATGTTGGTTGCGGTTGTTTTTTATGACTACCCAAGCATGCGAGATGATTGACCAGCTGTCGGAGGTTTTATTTAGGACTTGAGAGAGTTTCAGGGCGGAGATGCTGGTCTTGGATGATGGTGAAAGTAATATGGTGTGGTGTGTATTTGTATAATTGATGAAATCGGCGGAATGTAGTTGGTGAGATTGATTTTGGCAGCCCAAGTCAGACACGGATGCCTGCATGGAATTGGAAACTGCCAAAACAGAAACAGTGCCTATGGTTCTTTCCCCGGTCGCAGCACACCAATACCACGACTGGAGGGGGCTAGTGGATTGTTAACGTGGTGTGAAGTTTTGAGAAAGCACTGTTATAAAGATGTTATGATCAGGTCTTGGCGAAGATGGAACCTCCAGCGGGGTGGGTTGTTGAAATAAAAAAGGAAAGCTCAACTAATAGAATGAGAAGGTGTGGACCAGTTTCCGCGTCGACAAAACCACAGGCTTTTCGAAACAACCCAACTCAGCTTTTTTCTTGGCTCAAGTGTTCAAACTGGTACGGCGAGATGGACGATATCGAGATTAGGTAAAGTAGTTTCAATCTTGCGATTTTGCTTTCCATAACAACCTCCACAAAAGGAAGTGGGATACCTGTTTTTGATAATCTGTGTTCATGTGAGCAGGCTTTGTTTATTTTGTAGTCTTCCGGGGATAGGCTTCACAATGCCCATGGATAGCCAAATGGAAGCATTTACCATCGCAACAAATGAAAAACTGCTGGCCCCTCTGGTTAAGGATATCTTGGAAAGACTGAAGGGAAATCGTCGGTGCTAGCTGCACTCATGTCAACATTACCTGGCCCAAAAGACCGTAAAGAAGCGGAGGCCTGTCTTCAAGAAGATACCTGAGAGATCGAAGATGTCTCCAAAGTTTTGACACAAAATGGAGCGTGTTTAAAAAGGTGGAGGTCGTGAATGCAGTGAATTGGAGACTAGATAAGATTCAGCCAACCGCTCGGAAAGTGTCATGCATCTGAATTTTACTAGATGCTTCTTGCCCATTCTTCATATCGTTGCCATATCAGGTTGCAAGTTTAAGGGGCCGCCTGCCTGTCACGTGGTTCAACAACCAGGCAGTCTTCCTTCCACACGTGGTAGGTAGCTCAACATATCCATCTCTTCCCCTTCCTTTTCAAATTTCTTGAATTTTGAAAAGAGGAACCCGAAAATTCTATCTCCTATAAAGCGACTTCTTTGCTGACAGCCCACAGCAAAATGTCTCTCAAGCGCAAGAGAGCACTGGAAGAGTATGAAGCTCCTCATTTATGGGAGTTGTTTGCTGATTTGTGGTAGCATCTTCCAATCACGGCTCATCAAGTTCGTCATTGGCACTCCTGGAGTCGAGTTCAGTGTTCACGAGTCTTCTTTTACTCGACTATCTGCACCACTTCGAGCACTGCTCACCGGCGGCATGCAGGAGTCAATTGACGCAAGGGTTGTTTGGGATGATTTGGAAACCTCCATCTTCCTCGCCCTGGTGGACTTTGCTTATAACGGCGACTACGCTACCCCATCACTTGTGAAAGCTAGTCAGCCTGAGACCAGCACCAAAGCCGACAGCGAAGAAGATTGTGTGGTAAAGACTATATCTATCTCTGACTGGATGAAGAAGTTCGACGGTCAAAACCGCAGGCCAATTATCTACTCCTTATGCAAGGCAGTGTTCGAAAAGGAAAAAAAGAAGAGCTGGGACGGATCAATCGGCAAGGCAACCTACGCAGCCGAGATGATGGACGCGAATGTTACCGGCCATGATGTTGTTTTCATGTTCCATGCCAAATTATACACCCTTGCCGATAAATATGCAATTGGACAGCTCAAGGAACTGTGCTTGAAACGCATACGCGCCAGTTTGCTCTTGGCTCCTGGAAATAAACACGTCCTCAAAGCGGTCCGCAAATTGGTTTGCTACGTCTACGAGCATACATTGCATGGCGATGGGCTTCGTAATCTGGTGCTTCGCTATTGCATCGTCAAAATCGGCTGGCTCAAGAAGTGTGGATTCGTCACTCAAATGGTTAAAGGTTTACCGACTTTCGCAACAGACTTGCTTTTGGGAACGCCTCAAACGATTTTTGACCAAATCATGGGAGAGCCATGGGATGGAAAAGGCAGCACTTGGTCACCCTCACGTTAGTAATGCCAGCAAATCGAGCTTGGCTTGGGCGAAGTTACACAGTAAATGGGTTGACACAGATTTGGCCAGGAGCTGAGAATAAGAGATGGTACATAGTACACGCCTGTACTCGACATTAGCAATAACCAAAATCCAAGCTAATGATGTCTTCATTTTGACTACTTATGTATTTGGTGAATGAAGTAACTCTTAATTTTCTTGCGTCCTGAAGCGGACTGGACACCCTCTTGAAGCACGGAACCAAGACGAAAAGCGAAGAATCCGTTGGCAGGCGAATAAATTTTCCTTAGATTACATTACGCCTGCACTCGCAGAAAATTATCCAAAGACATCTTGTGTAGATGTCAATGTTCAATTTCATAGGTTACATGATATTATTAACGTAACTGACTACGTTGTCGCGTTTTCATACATTCCAATAAACGCTGGGCAATACTTACTGTTCCTTCCCGATAATAAACACTTCCACTTTGGGCATTCTCTGTTCTCAAACTCGACTCATCTCGCTCTTGCCCCTAATTACTCTGCTCAAGTCCCCGACAGGCAGCTCCACTGGAAAATCCAGCGACGCAAGCAATATGGCGAAGATCAGATACCAACCTGCCATGCACGCGACGAATCCACATGCTCCAGCGGCCTACGATACCCGGAATTTAGCTCTGAAGCACATCAATCAACAAGAAGCAGAAGAGACTCACCTCGAGAAGTTGGGCAGCAAAGGCGGAATTGGCCGTGTAGTTCATGGCAAGGAACCAGTACCCAGCGGTTATGAGAGCAAAGGTAGCGGTAAGGGTGAGGAAAATGATAAAGAAGACGAAGTTGGTTCGAAGCGAACAGACGAGGAAGACGACGCATATCATGGCCATCGCGAGGGTAAAAAAGCCTGTCACCTCAGTGGTTAGCACATGTGACTACGGAATTGCGAAATTCAAGACTCACCGAAGCTGGCATTGAAGCCTTTAGTTGCCAACCCCTCGGCCCCAGACTTAGCTCCCGCTGGAGCGTACGACGAGAACGCAGCAAAGGACGGAGTCAAGGTTGCGCCGAAGCTGAACCAGAAGGCGCCGAAGGTGGTGAAGACGACCGAGGGAAAGGTATTGCCGAGGACCCATTCGAGAAGGCCACCGACGAACATGAGCAGACCGCCAAAGAAGTAGTAGGAGCCGCTGGACGAAGAGAGGTCAGCCTGATGTCGACAGGGAAGATATGGGAAGCGTCAGACTTACATGCCAGCCGCACCACTCCCACCTGCGCCGCGCCAACCCATCAAGTCACAGGACAGAGGAGTCAAAGAGATGAGGAAGCCTATGATGGCACTGATAACCGTCAGCCTGCACAACTTCATACAAAGAGACACATAGCGAGGACTGACATTGGCGTTGGGTTGCCAAAGGTCTTCCGCAGCTCGCCCTTGACATTGTTCTGCGGCGATAGGTACAGCTTCTCGAATAGCTCAGGCGAGATGGAGATGGACCCGGCCGTCTTCACTCTCCTCAGAGCCTCGTCGCGGCTTATCTGAGGAGCGATATACTCGTCGGTGTAGTCATAGCCGTGAGGGACCGGCGCGCGGGGACGGTGATGGCCGTTATGGGTGGAATGGGAGCGAATCTCGTGGATCTGTTCTTTGTGGTCCATTATCGTTGAATTCTTTTTCACTGGTGCCCTTTTTGGATACAACGATGGCTAATGATACAGTGAGGTTTGGATGAACAACGAGAGAATGCAACAAGAGATGTCGGGAAACACGAGATTAGACGACATGAACATGCCAGAGCGCTCATTATGAAGGCCCAGGCGAGCATAGCAATCCTAGACCCCCCGATGCTGCCTTACACTCTAAAAGAGGATTCCAGGATGTAAACCACCGGACGGGGGGGTAAGATGGCCGGGGCATCTTGGCATGGGGACATGTTGGCAAGGCCTCGTCCAGTAGGAGGGCAGGCAACACGACTCCAGGATGCCACGAAGAAGAACAATGCGTGTCTACGATCGAACTGTGAGGGTTGTCTCTTAAGTCCATACAGACACTGTGCTGGAAGAGAGGGTCTTCACTAGGGCGACTGGTAGAGGCTGCAGAAAGACAGTTCGGCGAAAAGGGATGGTCCCGCAACCCGAAGGTCTGGCATGGGAGTGTCAGGATGCGGGATGCAGAATGCAGGATGGGGGGGCCGGATGATTCGTCGACGGCGACAGACTCCTGGGGTAGAGCGATGTTTGGGGCTCAAGGAGGTCTGGAGATGGAGGGTGAAGCCCAGACCGATGGGGTGAGAGGTTTGCTGTCTCTGGGAAGTTTCCTGTCAAACAACCTGGGGGGGAGACTTATCCACACCGTGCGGCCATGTCTGCGATGTTTGGAAGGGCGAGTCAATGGGGTGATTTCCACCTCGTTGAGGCTTATTTGCCTTGTCCCGCAGGAGGGAAACGGACTGAAAGCCGTGGTTCGAAGCGGCTTAAGGGAGTTGCTAGCAGACAGAGAACGTGGAAGACGGCCAACAACACGGGCTTACCGAATTGGGACGTCGCGGGATGAGAGTAGCTAGCAGTCGGGAGTGAACAACACACGTTTTGGAGCAAGCGAGAAGACACCAGGCTTGCAGTAGTACGAGCGGCCAACTATTGCCTCGACCCGAGTATTGTTCTAGGCGCTGCGGGATGGATCAAGTGGAAGATGTCCTGGAGACGATAGTCGTCGCCTAAGAGAAGGCAACTAAGCCAGGATTGGGTGGTTGGGGGGTTGAGTTTGGGGATGAAGCTTCAGCTAGTGCGGATCCGTCTCAATTGCGGGGGAAGCTAAGGGCAGACGGATCAATGGAGCAGAAGTCGGGGTAGCGGATGAGGCGTGTGCGTGTGGTGGTCCATGGGCCATCGGTATTGCATGACATGACATGACAGTGAGGATGAACAGGGAGTTTGGATAGGGGAGATCGGGTGAGACGGACTGAAGAAATTGAAAGAGGAAATTGACCGTTGAAGTGAAGAGCGACTTTTGGTTTGTTAGACAAACAAAGTAGCAGGAAATGCCCCGGTGGTCTAGTCGTGATGGACTGGCTACTTGAGGCTCAGTTACGATCCGCTGACCGAGTGACAAACTTGCTCGCTAGCTTGCTTTCTTACCCCAGTCTTGGCAGATTGACTCGACCACACCGTAGGAATAACTAACGGCAGATCCCAAGACATCCGATTTGACTACAAGACTCTTCTGCGACGGAGGATTTTTATGGAATGGGGGGATGGGTGGGATGACCTGGTCCTGGCATGCAGTGCCAACAAGACGAAGGGTCCGTCACAACTTTAAAAGAAACAAAAAAGACGGAGCTATCTCGGTATAGCTTCGCCAACGCGGCTTTCTTCACGACAGATGACCCAAGAGGTTTCATGCAGAGTTTGAAGTCATGCTCACGGTAAAAGAAAAGAGGGAGAAGGAGTAGCAACGAATTAGTCTCGTATCATTCATCTCGTAGTAAACATGAATTGGTCATGCCGCCAATTGATTTTTTTTGCTCGCTGCATGGCGGCTATCACAGCTTACCCGCGGCCTGGAGGGCCCTCTCGCCGTCGACGAGAACACACCAGCCCTCGCCTCCAACGGTGCCGCCACCGAACCCGGCGACGACAGCCTCGAAGCCGCCCTCGCCGCGCGCGTACTCGATGACGGCGTCGTCAAAGGTGCCGGGCTGCAGCCAGACGGCGGGGATGCCCAGTTCCTTGGCCTCCTTCAGGACCTTGAGGGTGACGAAGGGCGGGGTGATGATGGAGACGGAGGTCTCCTTGGGATTGGGCAGCGCCGAAAGGTTAGGGATGGCCGGGTGGTCCTTGCCCAGGGCGTTTACCGTGTTGGAGGTCGGGTTGATGGGCGTCGCGGGGATGTTATGGTTAAGGTACCAGGCGAAGACTGTTGGGAGGGAGGGGGAGGATTGTCAGTAGGTTTTTCAGTGATGATATTGGCGAGGGGTAAGGGATCTGCGTGGGGAGGGGTTGAGCTTGTGAGCCGCAGCGGGAGTGAGATTGAATTGAGAGAGAGAGAGAGGGAGGAGGAAGCGAGGGTGTGTTAATGTGAGTGATCCATGAAGCCCGTGAACTCTCAGTATGTAGTAGTAAACTGAGAGAGAGGTAATGTATGGATACGGCTCAGGCAACTCGGAGACAAAACGTACTCTTGTGGCCGAACTTGGCGGGGTTGGAGCTCGCGCCGACGACGGCGATGAACTTTGAGGAGAAAAAACGACGGGCCGCTGCTTCGGTCGTCATGTCGGGCAACTCTATAGACGTTTCTTATCGTGATGGATGCGATTGAAAGCGAAGGAAACGGATTTAGAGGTAAAAGCGAGGTGGTCGGAGATGAGGGGTATAGGCGGCTCGGAGCTTTCGAATCTCCATGCCATAAGGAGCTCCGAGCACGTCAGGGTGGAGACGATGGCGACGGGACTGCCGAGGCCGACATATGCGGAGAGCGGCACAGGCTCACTGGAATTATGGGGACTTTCGTCGCCGGCGATTGCATTGACACGGCGGCGGATCGTCCACTGCTTGAACATTAGTCATTTGATTTTCTGCTCAATGTATTGGTAGACATTGTGTGGCAACCCCCGTCCTGAGCCGGCTATCGATGCCGTGATATCCTTAGGATCAGCCGAAGGGGATTGATAAATTCAAGACGTCGCCTGCTTCATGGAGGAATGTAACGAGAAAAAGGCCAGACTAACCAGTGACGACATTAACTACTGATTGCCGAATTACCCTCTTACAACCAACTTCCAAACACTCACGTTCAACGACGGTTCACGAATATAATGTCGGTATTTGCGTATGTAACATAACGCGTTCAAGAGTATCACGCAAGATGAAAACTGACATTGAATACAGACGCTCGTCGTTTTCCGCTGCTGGTTATGCGGCTTTCCGGCCATCGTACCCGGCATCACTCTACCAGACTATTCTGGCATATCGCAACACCAAGTCAGCGACCGGCACGGCATTGGATCTAGGATGTGGCCATGGCCTCATTTCTCGAGAGCTCAGCCCTCATTTCGGCAAGGTCATCGCTATTGACCCCAGCGCCGGCATGATCAAGCAAGCATCAGAGTCGACCAAGGACCCCAAGATCACGTTCCGACAGGGCAGCTCCGAAGACCTCTCGTTCATCGAGAGCAAGTCAATCGACCTAGTCGTAGCGGGCCAGGCGGCGCACTGGTTCAACTACGATAAAGTCTGGCCGCAGCTGGCCCGCATCGTCAAGAGCGGCGGCACGCTCGCTTTCTGGGGCTACAAGGACAACATCCTCATCGGGTACCCGGAAGTCAACGAGATATTTGATCACTTTTGCTACGGCGAGGGCAAAGCATCCGCCCAGTTTCCCTATGAAACAATGGGACAGTACTGGGAGAAGCCGGGACGACAGATTCTCCGTGACAATCTCTCGGTGGTGGTGCCTCCGGAATCGGAGTGGGAAAAGGTGAAGCGGATTATTTACGACCCCGACCGCAAGACATCACAGATCGGCGCAGACGTGGCGCCCGAGGCGGCGTGGCAACGTAAGAATCTCAAGCTCGGCGAGTTCGAGGGCTATGTGCGGACTTTCAGCGCGTACCGTGGCTGGCGTGATGCGCATCCCGAGGTCAAGAGCAGAGCGGAGGGCGGAACGGGTGATATTGCCGACGCATTGTTTGACCGTCTATTGGAGACGGTGCCGGAGTGGAAGGCCAAGGGTGAGGAGTGGCGGGACATTGAGGTCGAGGCGGTCTGGGGCACGACGATAATCCTAGCCAAGAGGAAGTGAAGAGTGTATATCTTTCATAGATAGACCAGGCGGCTGTGCTTGTGCCTGGTTAGTGGAGGAATGACTCGCTTGCGAGGCTTGTGTCGGTTGGATGCAAGGAGACTCGGGACGAACCGTGTGAGGGCGATCATAAGGCGCCAAGACGGTTGTTCTCGTTCAATGTCAGTGTCAATGATAATTCATATACATATTTGGGCGCATAATGTGAGGTCAATACACATAGATAGTGCTGTGCAAAGGCGGCGACGGATCGTAAGCCATGACAGAATAATTGGCGAAGCGGTGCTGGCGGTCATGGGTTGAGAAAGACACTGGGAGCATCTGATTGGCCCATTTGCCTCTGGTCGGGTATTGAAAGAGGGTCCCACATGGCTCGGCTTCTTCCACGGGCCACAGCACTGACCCCCTATAATCCCTACCAACTCCCCAGGGCCCCCTCGTTGCCCCGTCAGGTTTCAAGAGTTTTGGGGGGGTGCCGAAGTTCCCTTCTACGTAGTACTACCAGGTAAAAGGTGTCCTAAACAGGGCGGTCAGCCAGCAAAACATAGTGTGCACCGCTGAAGTGTCCAGGGGGGGCCCTCTTCAATAGTGCGTCAGGCACACACCACACCGCCCGTGTCGAACTGCATGAATAACGGTGACTGGGAATGCCCGAGGCCCTTGACTTTGAATAAAAAAAAATTGAACATTGGATAAAATAAGGCCAGAATAAAGAGAACCAAAGGGGAAGGGGGGTCCAACAGGCTGGGCTGGCAGGGAGGGAACATAAAGTGTTTCGACCGCCATACATCAACCTCCAGGAAACACCATCACGAACCTCACCGTCGTCCTGATTTTTTGTCTTTTCGTCTCAATCCGTCCAAAAAAGTCACTTATTTTTGATTTACTGAGCCTACCAGTACCAGTACCTCTTTACATAGACCAAAATGGTGAGTTTTGCTGTTCCCCCTCCCACCCCCCTTTTTCTGCCTTGCTTTTCTTGTTTTGTTTTTTTTCCCCCACCACCCTTCCTTTGAAATGTAAACAAAGGGGACCAGTCCAGCCATTCAGCGGCTGCCTTTGCCCCCTTTGACTGCTGCCAACAACCTGCCTTAGCGCCTGGTTGGTTCAGCGGCGAACCTTGTAGAAGGGGAATTGCAGTGGGAAGCAAGACACATGCGACCATCCACCCGCCAACAGGAGCACCCTAAACACAGTAATTGGACTGCGCTGCAGCGCAGGTTCAAGGGGGGGAAAACAGCCCGATCAGCAGCACTTGATTACTTTTGGTACCGGTTGCATCACGACATTCCCAACCCTTCCCATCTTTTCTCCCACCGCATAAACCGCCTCATTTTTTAATCCCACTCTTCGCGCGCCAACTTCTTCATTCCCCCTCCTACCGAAAAAAAACGTCATCCGACTTTTTGATTCAATACCGAAAATACTGCGATCTTTCGCGCAAACACGCACATTCAAAATGGCTTCTAACCAGTACGACGCTCAGGCTTCGACCAACTACAAGGAGGCTTTCTCTCTGTTCGACAAGCGCGGCAACGGCCGTGTCGCTCTCGACAGCCTCGGCGACCTGCTCCGCGCCTGCGGCCAGAACCCCACCATCAACGAGATCCGCGACCTCGAGAAGAACGTCGGAGGCGACTGTGAGTGGCCCGTCTTTCAACCCCACGATTCCAAGAATATCATCATCGCGCGCGATGCGGCTTCGGATGAGAACGGGGGAAACGTTAGATGAAGAAGGAACAGGATGACTGACATGTGATAGTCGACTTCGAGACCTTCCAGCGCATTCTCAACCGCCCTGGTGGCTTCCGCGACCCCGGCGAGCCCGAGGAGTACTGCCGCGGTTTCCAGGTCTTTGACAAGGACATGACAGGCTTTATCGGCGTCGGTCAGCTCAAGTACATTCTCACCAACCTCGGCGAGAAGATGTCGGACGAGGAGGTCGATGAGCTGCTCAAGGCTGTCGACACCAGCTCTGGCCAGGTCAACTACACTGGTATGTCGCTACCTTGTTTATCTGTGGAAGGTCGGAAAGATGCTAACGACATAACAGAGCTTGTCCGAACCATTCTTGCCAACTAAATTGCCTGCCTATCCTGCGGTGGACGGCTGGGAGACACTACGACTGAGCGAGCGAGCTGTACGAAATACACAAGAGGATGGGCGGACTGGATTGGCAAGCAGCTTACGAAGACATTTGCATGGCTGGCACGATGGGATGGCGTTTGCTTTGCGTTGCGTTGACTGGAATTTGAGTACTTCCGGAGTTGGCTCAGTAGAGACCGTCTCCGGTAAACATACGGCCTTGTAGAACCGATACTAAAAGAAAGAAAAAGAAATAAACACTTTGATACCAGTATGCTGTTGGATATTCCTGAGTTTACATGGTCATGGTTATTGGGTTTTCTGTTACAATGTGGTTTGTAACAATAGCCTATATTTTCCATTCAGTCATTTCTGAACAACCTGAAGTCCAAAGTCCATGCCTGTAGATATCATGGACATTGTATGCCCATGCATTCACTGTCCATGATCACAGGCAGTCAAATGTCATCAGCCACCCATCGTAAGACAGTTAACCCAGCAACGATGAACCCCGCAAAAATGGTGAGTGTAATACCCTTACGTAAGCTCTCGCTTGTCAGGCGATCTGGCCTGCATTTGGACCTGCAGACAAAGGGTCCAGTTTCGGATAGGTACCCCAGTAAGTATCCGTAGGAGACGCTGCCTCTTCAACATGTTCGGTTGTTGCCATTGAAGACTGTAAATAATTTCAGTAAATACTTAATAGTGTTTATAAAACCATATGAGTGCTTTGACAAAGTTTTCGATGTCTTTCTAGCACTCGTGATCCCTTATAAACCAAACCCATATAGCTAATGATAACTGACGCCCCGCCTGCCTCACCGTGGGGCGGATGCGGTAGCGCCGGGAGCTTTGACGCAACAGACGCAGGTAGTTGACACCACTGGCAGCCTCAACTGGAAGGTGCAAAGACGTACTACCCGCCAGTGACCTTTACCCATCCACTTACACACATCATCCCCCCCCGCTTGAGCTCCTGCAAGTCACCACCCTCAGTCCACTCCTTGCGTAACTGCTCATCTGCCTTGACCTTGAACTCTACTTGACCCTACCAGCACTGTAAAGTACCTCGTTCCCGATTGACCGCATCGTCTAACCGAACCATCCTCCACCTGCATCCTTTCGCGCTTATCCTGCACCGCCGCATCACCCCCCCCTCTTCACCCCGCCCCCGACAACCACCAGACCGACTGATCGAACCGTGTTTCGTCCAGTAGCCGTGGCGTCGACTGCACTCTTCAAGCGCCTACCCCTCCTCTCCCTCACCTTCTTTCTCTTCTTCATCGTCACATCTTTCATCCTGGCGGCCCCGCGAGCAGTTCCGAGAATCACCTCTCTCTTCGCTCAGTTGCGATTCAAACCCGCCCAGGTTCCCTTCGTTGCCACATCTTCCGTCGCGACATATCGTCCCTTGGTGACCGCCGCCATGACGGTCCCCGACAAGTACAAGTCGCCGCCCCAGGCGCCTCCCGTGTTCACGGGCACCAAGGAGTCCATCGTCGGCGACTCCAAGAAGATCTGCGACCAGACTCGTACCCTTCTCGACAAGCTCGTTGCTGAGATTCCTACCGACAAGGCTACCTTCGAGAATGTTATGCGTCCCATCGCCAAGGACGAGAACGAGAGCGGACTGTCTACCAGAATCCTTGGGTTCTACCAGTACGTCTCGGGAGATGCTGCTCTGCGCGAGGCCTCGACCGAAGCCGACAAGATCATGGATGATTTCTCCATCGAAGTCAACATGAGGGAGGATGTCTTCAAGCTGATTGAGGCTCTCCACAACCGCAAGGACTCTGAGGGCCTGGATGCTGAGAGCTTGCGCTTGCTCGAGAAGGACTACAAGAACTACATCAAGATGGGTCTGGGTCTGCCTGCTGGCCCCCAGAGAGACCGCTTCAAGGAGATCAAGAAGCGTCTCAGTCAGATCCAGATCGAATTCCAGAAGAACCTCAATGAGGAGAATGGCGGCATCTGGTTCACCCCCGAGGAGCTGGATGGTGTTCCCGAGGACGTCGTTGAGGGCCTTGAGAAGGGCACCGGCGAGAACGAGGGCAAGCTTAAGCTGTCTTTCAAGTACCCCGACCTCTTCCCTACCCTCAAGTTCGCCAAGAACCCCGAGACGAGGCGCAAGCTCTTCATCCAGAACGAGAACAAGTGCAACCAGAACGTCCCTCTGTTCAAGGAGGCTATCATCCTTCGTGACGAGGCTGCTCGCATGCTTGGATACCCCGACCATGCCTCCCTCCGTATTGAGGACAAGATGGCCAAGACTTCCAAGACCGTCACAGATTTCCTGGGCGACCTCCGCTCTCGCCTTGCAGCTGGTGGTGCCAAGGAGGTTGAGCACCTGCTTCAACTCAAGAAGGCTGACACTGAGGCCCGCGGTGTATCAAACGACGGCAACTACTACCTGTGGGACCACAAGTTCTACGACCGGTTGATGATCGAGAAGGAGTACAGTATTGATGAGAACAAGATTGCCGAGTACTTCCCTATTACCTCGACTATTGCTGGTATGCTCAAGATCTTTGAGGAGCTGCTTGGCTTCGTCTTCGTCGAGCTTAAGCCCGAGGACCGTGCTGCCTTGAGCCCCACTGGCAAGGCCGAGGACATTGCCTGGCATGAGGATGTCATCATCTTCAGCGTTTGGGATGACGCCTCCGAGGGAGATGGCTTCGTTGGTTACTTGTACCTTGACCTGCACCCCCGCCAGGGCAAGTACGGCCATGCTGCCAACTTCAACCTGCAACCCGGCTACCTGCAAGCGAACGGCTCTCGCAGATACCCTGCTACTGCCCTCGTGTGCAACTTCAGCAAGCCCACGCCCAAGAAGCCTTCTCTGCTCAAGCACGACGAAGTTGTCACGCTTTTCCACGAGCTGGGCCACGGCATTCACGACCTTGCTGGTCGCTGCACCTACAGCCGTTTCCACGGTACTAGCACCGTTAGGGACTTTGTAGAAGCCCCCTCTCAGATGCTGGAGAACTGGTGCTGGACTCCTAGCGTCATCAAGTCCCTCTCCAACCACTACCAGACCGGCGAGAAGATTCCCGATGATCTCATTGAGAAGCAGATCTCCACTAAGCATGTCAACGCTGCCCTCTTCAACCTGCGTCAGCTCCACTTTGGTATCTTTGACATGACGGTTCACACCCCCAAGAGTCACGAGGAGATCAAGAACATGGACTTGTCGGCGATTTACAACGAGCTTCGTGGCCAGATTGCTGGAATCAAGGGCCCCGAAGCTCAGGGCGAGAACAAGTACGTACACACTTCCTCTGAAATTCTTGAAAGAGATGTTTCTAACAAACGCAGCAACTGGGGCAACGGACAGGCCTGCTTCGGTCACCTTATCGGTGGCTACGACGCTGGCTACTACGGCTACCTGTCATCAGAAGTCTACTCCACCGACATGTTTTACTCGGTTTTCAGGGCTGATCCCATGAACGGCAAGGAGGGTCGCCGCTACAGGCACACCGTTCTGGAGAAGGGCGGTAGCCAGGATGAGATGTTGACCCTGGAGCAGTTCTTGGGCCGCAAGCCTAGCACTGAGGCCTTCTACAAGGAGCTGGGCATCCCCCAGTGAACAACAATAAATGAAGTGAAAACTAGGGAGCAGTCAATGTTGTAACTATATTTCTAGCATTTGTTCACTTTAGGTGATCGCCCAGGCAAAATGTCCTGTCAAAATACACTGACTAATCTCTTGATGAATTTTTTTGATTTACGTTAAACGAAATGCCTGTTCATCGGAAAGGGAAATTTGTGATGAAGGCTTATGCTTCAGCCACAATTGAGCTTCAGCCACGGGCCATTAGCCATGCCGGACTCAGGTGTCAAACAAGCCACACCCCGCCAGACCCACCAAGCGCCAACTAGCAACGGGAAAGCAGAGAATCGAATGTAAACAAACGCGACCAAACTGACCAATGCGATTGGGTTTTGCCGATCCAACCCACGCCTAGGCCTACCCGGCACATCGCACTACAGCCAACGCTTTTATCGTCACTAGGACCATCGTTGCGCTTTCCCACACACACAACGACTTCAACAACCAACTCGCTACTAACCTTCACACCTCTAGCATTGCTACCTCCCCACGGCGCAGACGCGATTTTATCTCGAAATTATACGGCCCAATGCATCTTTGCTGCGATTAATATTTTGCCTCTTGCGACCGACGCGCCGTTCCGTTATCCCTCCGCAAAACCCTTTCGCGGCTCACGATTCGCGACTGATACCATTCTGTCAACCCTTTGACCTACTGCCAATTTTGAAACGAGATCGCGATCACCATGGCTTTCGAAGGCGAGGTTTCTGACGAGTACTTCACGTACGAGGGTCGCCTGGGCTCCTTTCACCAAGCCTATCCCGCTCCAAAACGACGCACATCCGGTGCGACAAAGGGCCCCAAGAACCTGACCTGGCCGCATGCGAAATACCTTTTGGCTGAGGACGTATGTCTACCCGCCGAAAGGCCTTGTGAGAAATAAGGACCTAGCGCGCTAACTTTTGCCCCAGCTTGCAAGAGCAGGTTTCGTGTGGCTCCCGTTCCCCGATAACCCAGACAATGTCGCCTGTTTCCTGTGCAACAAGTCTCTAGACGGTTGGGAGGAGGGCGACAAACCGCTTGAGGAGCATATTAAGCATTCTCCCAACTGTGGTTGGGCCATTGTTGCAGGCATTGAGGCCAACATTGGAGACATGGCAACAGAAGACCCCTCAAGTACTCGTATGGTCGCTGCCAGGAAGGCAACTTTTGGTGGACGGTGGCCTCATGAGGGAAAGAGGGGCTGGAAATGCAAGACCAAACAGGTCAGTCGTTTCGTGTGTGTATTCTGTGGCTTCTTTATACTGACTGTTTCCAGCTCGCCGAGGCAGGGTGGAAGTACACTCCTTCCCTTGAGTATAATGATATGGCGACCTGCACCTACTGCGACCTTGCATTGGACGGATGGGAGCAGGGCGACAAGCCCATGTCAGTGCCTCCCCCTTGTTCTACTAAACTTCTACTGACATCAAAACAGGGACGAACACTACAACAGATCACCAGACTGCCCATACTTCGCCCTCGTGGACCAGTACAGCGCAACTAAGAAGACCAAGGGCAAGGCAGCTCGAGGCTCCAAGACAACGGCAAGGTTATCTGTTCAATCCGTAGCCACGGCGGCATCAGACATCACCGACCTTCCCGCAGAGCACGACGACAGCGTACTTACAACAGCATCGATGGCCACCAAGAAGGGCACTCGTGCCAAGAAGGCTACAACAACCGCCAAGACCAGAAAGACCAAGGCTAAGAAGGACGAGCCTGTCGAGGTTGTAGAGAGCGAGCCTATGGAAGCCGAGGAAATGCCACCCCCGCCCCCGAAACCCGCACGAGGCCGCAAGCGGACCAGTGACGACATAGATGATTCTGCCCTCACCGTCTCTGAGGCGCCTGCTCCAAAGAAGCGTGCACCCCGTGGTCGCGCAAAGGCAACCCCCGATAACTCTGTCATCGAACAATCACAGCAAGATATTAGCATCATTGATGCTCCATTGCCAGCAAAGGCTCCCAAGGGCCGCAAGACTGCCCGTGCTTCCGGCACCAAAGGAACAAGAAAGGCTTCAGGGACATCGCAGAGGTCAACGGCCTCAACCGCATCCCTGCGCGCTGCACCTGATGCTTTCCCAGAGGACGATGACGCGATTGAGCGTCAGCTTGAGGCAGATTTGGAACGCCCATTGACGGATGACGAAGACATCATGCAAGACTCTGATTCTGAAAGGAAAAAGGTCCCTGTATCTGGGTCCAAGGCCAAGAAGAGCCGCGTTCGCATCGACGCCGCTGCTAGCCCTGAGCCGACAGAGAGCCAGATGTTCGATGTCGAGCCATATGTTGCTGACGAGGAGGTTGTTGATGAGGAGCTGAAGCAACTCGAAGCTGAGATGACTATTGACGAGCCGGAGGTGCTTGAAGTTCCGAAGAAGGCCTCCAAGGCTGGTGGCACCCGAAAAGTGTCGAAGCAGACGAAAGCTCCAAAGACTAAAGCCGCAAAGGCCCCCGTCAAAGAAGAAGTCGTGTCTGTACCAGCTGAGCCGACTGCGCCAGTTGATCAAGAGCAGCCGCACGAGGGTGTCGAAATGGAAGAGGACGAGATCAGCACTGCAACTGTTATCACAAAAACCACAAAAAGCGCCCGTACAAGCACTGGTAAGAAGCGCGGCCGCCCTTCCAAGAAGTCACTGGAGGCTCGTGCTTCTTTGGAAGCCAGCAAGGTTGATGATGTCGATATGATCGAGCCTGAAAAGTCTGTCGCGGAGCCGGAACCCGAAGAGGGGCTTAAGCCTGAGCCTTTGCCTGAGCTTGAAGCTGAAGCTGAACGTGAACCTGAAGTTGAAACTGATGTCGAGGCTGAGGAGCCCGTAGAGTCTCAACAGGCTGAAGAGGATTCTGAGATGGAAGAAGATGAGGTAGACGAGATCTCGGTGCGAGAGGAGTTCACCTCAGCAAGGCAAACACCAGCACCAATCGAGGCAGAATCCGAACCCGAGGAGGCGCCTGAAGAGGTTGGCGAGGAGGATGAAGAAGAAGAAGAGGAGGAGGAGGAGGAAGCCGAACCGGAAGACGACACAGAGCCTGAACCAGAGCCAGAGTCGGAAGCGCCTGAACCAACACCTCAACCGAAGAAGAAGAAGAGCATCCCAGCGGCGCCCTTGTCACCTGCGGTTGCATCGTCTGCACGACGTAGTCTACGACAGTCAGGAAATACTCCTCGTATTTCACCAGCCCAATCGGCTCGTCAAGCAGCGGTCTCGCCTTCGCCATCACCCCAGTCTTCGGATGCAGAGAACCAACCCCCTTCAGCAAGGACAGCAACGGCGAAGAAGCGGGTGACACATGCACCAGTCTCCTCTACACCAGCAAAACCGAACTCCCCATCTAAGCGCAAGGCCCTGGCTAGTCTCCAAAGCACAACGCCCTGGAACCCGGTGGACATTGACCTCGTCTTTGGCTCACCCGCAAAGTCGGAGAAGAGGAACCCGGTCGACCGACTGCTTCACAAGGGAACAGAGCTCACTAGTCCCGAGAAGCGGATGACGGTCGAGGAATGGATCTACTTCAACGCGAACCAGGCCGAGGAGAAGCTGCGTCAGGAATGCGAGACCATGGTCAGCAAGTTTGAGAGCGAGGGCAGCAAGGCCATGAATGTTTTGGAAGGGCTGATTGCGGAGTAGAGTGAAAGGAACGTGTTTGCATAGCGTAGAGCGTGGTCGGGAGCATTGGCTTGCGAGATTAAATGATTGGTTTACCTCATGACGCACGAACAAACAACAGTCAACGTTACGCGCGCTTCCTTGTTGGGAATGGATCGAGGCGTGTGTAAGTGTGTATGGTTAGTTTTGTTTTTTAGGAAAGGTTGATGACGACGAAGAGCCAACCTGGATGTTATTGTGTGTGGGATTCTTGGACGACATTTACAAGGGACATTGGGATATGGAGAAAAAGAAACGGCGTTTGGGAAGGGTCCTTTTTTGTTCTGAAAGTAAAAATGTCATTATTATTATTGCTTGGTTTTGTCTTATAAATAATGAGGGTGTTTGTCTAGTAATATGTGAATTTCATTAAGAAGTTTCGTCCTCCCCAAAAAAGTTACCCCCGTTTCTCGTCTAATTTGATTTCATGAATATCCAGTGGTATCGTTCCGGCATGCAAAAACATTTCGTCTTGTGAATTTGTTTTTCTCATTTCGTTCCTTCCTCACTCATGCCACTCTTTCTTCCTCTCTATTACCGATTTGATTGTTTGGTTTGGTTTTTTTCCGTTCTTTTTCTTCTCTGCGGCCTCACAAACGTTTCAAAGGCTAGTTAGCCCGGAACGCTTAGACGCAGTGCAGAGCACCGTCGGCGTGGGTGTGGCACTCCTGGGGAGCGCTGGAGGTGGTGGCGGCGGGAGAGGAAGGGGTGGTGGTGGCAGCAGGAGTCTCCTCCTTCTTGTCCTCCTCCTCGAGCTCGCCGGAGCAGCCGACGCCGGGGGCGGCGATGTCGTAGGCCCAGACGTCGATGGCGAAGTACTGGAGGGCGTCGCTGTCGAGGACGGAGAGGGTGGCGTTGTTCTTTGCGAGGTCGAGGACCTCGGCGTAGTCCTCTGCGTAGTGCTCGACCTGTCCGAGGGAGACGAGGGGCACGTGGAAGGCGCGGTGGAGGAGGTCGGTGGCCCAGAAGGTGTTGAGCCTGGAGTTGGCGACGTTGTAGCCGAGGCCGCAGACGGAGGTCAGGGGGCGGCGGATCTGGAAGGAAAGGGGGCAGATGACGGTCTCCTGGGTGGCGTTGCTGCCGCGCCAGTGGCCGGCCCAGCCCTCCTGGGTGGCGCAGTTGCGGTCAGGGTCGTCGCAGCGGAAGGTCATGCCGGTCTTGTCGGCGTTGACGACGCGCTCGTACCAGCCGACGGCGGTGGCGGTGGAGGCGTTGCCAAAGTACTTGCGGACGTGCTCCGACTCGTTGCCGAAGCGGAGGATGTGGTCGCGGGCGTGGCCGGCGAGCTGCTGGGTCTCGGCCAAGGCGACCTCGAGCTGGGCCCGCAGGGTAGAGTTGCAGGACTGGTGGATGGGGAAGGTCTTTTGCCAGCCCTTGGACCAGTCGTAGGGGGTCGCGGGGGTAGGGACGGAGGCAGCGGCCGAGGTGGACGGGGTCGCTTGGTCCTGGCGGCCGACGAGGGGAGAAGCGTCGGCGGCGCCGGACAGGAGCAGCAGAGCTGCGGTGGCAAGGCTGTTGTACATCATCTTGACTGTGGTGGGAGCTGTTGTTTTGCTTGGATAATTATAAATCAAGTACAAAACAAGAGGTACTTAACCGGTGAGTTTGATGTAAGACGACGAGATGAAGACTTGTCAGAAGTTTTGGAGCTGGGAGCTTGGGAAACAGCTTGTAGCTTGAAGATCTTCTTCTTCTTTCTCATTGACGGGAGGGCATGCGGGTAGGGTTTTATAGCTGCGAGATCCCGTAATGGAAAATTTCTTCTCACGCAGTCCCGTATCCTTGGGTCGCCAATGGGGGGGGTGCTCATCGAGGTAGAAAAGCCAAGACTTGGAGCTATACTACGATGAACAAGTTAGCTTGCTTTCCTTCTTGCGTAGTAGACAGGCTTCAACTGCTCACGCGTGGGCTTCCGTGTGAATCGTCGTCATGTCAGATGCCAGGCTGATCCTTCCATGGCCCACGCCTCCGGCCGTATGTTCTGATCGGGCAATGTCCCCCCATCCCCTCCCATTCCCATTCCACGCCGCTCATCTGCAGTTCATCGCCAGCCATCTTTCAGCGTTGCAGTCGCTCCAACGCCCGGTATCCCCTCCCAACGTCCCCCCTCCCCCCCTCTTCTGGTGCGCTTACAAGCAAGCTTCTTTGATGAACGAGCCCGATTATTGCCTTAGTGTGGAGTCTATCATGTCGGTCAAAACTGCCTTCCTACTATAGTAGAACAACCTTGGCGAGCTGCGAGATGTGTTAGTCGGGTGATGCCAAGGCGCGGGCAGCTCAATGCCAAGCTCACGATCACCTTTACTATAGCAAGTGTAATTGGTCAATGGGCACTTACAGCGAATGGCGAGGCTGGTCGGTGAAAAACAAGACCCCACGGCCAAGAAGTGCTAAGTTATGTTGGCTCGAGGATTCGGTGACGTTGGGGCGAGTTTTACAGTCTAGAAGACCCGACTCGGGAGGCCATCCAGGTTCTCGGGCCCCACTCATCTCGGAGCCGGCCATCAGGGTCCTCAACGACCGGGGATCCGGGGCTACCCCCACTTTTTGTTTCTGCGTTTTTTGCGCTCTGCTCTCCCACGCCGCACACTTCACTACACTACGCATACACGTTCTTGGAGCTAGAGGCCTAACCTGCACCAACAAACTGCACCGTTGCTTTTTGACTTTTTCTCTCAGCCCTGCATTCTCAGCTCGTGATGTGTACTCGCAGGTTGTCGCGGTTAATTCGTGTGCCGGACGATAACCTATTGCCTCGTCACATGTATCGGACAAAATCATGCATGGGAGAAAGCACAAAACAAAACATCACTCTGAAGAAGCACTGCGGAGATCCCGAAAAGGTTTAACTGGATCACCGACAGCTTGGTAATTCCAATATCCAAGTTGGCTTGCTCCGCGGACGCGCGCTGCGGATGCAACCTTATTGCGTAAAGTAGGCATCAAACACTTGCAGCACTTTGCCCCCCGCGTCGGAGGGGCCTTCTCGCTGCTTCCGCCGTTCATGGTCTAGGATATCGGCCTTTGCCATCCATACTGTACGGCTCCGTCCCATTCTCGCCTTGAGGGATTTATGAATTCCCTGCGCTGGGTATGCTACCAGCCCGACCAATCCTAGTCATGTACCACCCGGGTCAGCTTTGCCCGATAGATTCACCGAATGTGTGTGTGTTTTTTTTTTTTTTCTTCTCTTCCTGCTGCTTCGGCAACAAGTAGAATGTAATGTGTTTGCTCACCTGCTCCTGGTTTGGTCACAAAGCCGAGGGTCCCTGTGCCCACGCCCTTCATCAGGCCGAGAGCCCCTCCCTCTTTCGCACCTTTGTAAGGATCCGTGATTATGCCCGTCAAACCATCATAGAAACCGGTCCCAAATGTCTAAAATCAGGTCAGGGCCGGCCGAGCATGATCTCACCTGATGACGGAACTCACCTTGGCGGCTACGATCCCGCCACTCTTCCAGTCTTTCACCTGGCCATTATGTCGTACCTTGTCGCCGTACAGCTTGGGAACATTGCGCAAACCCTCTGTGAGCGCCAATGGCATATTTACCAGCCCGCCTTTGGCGACGACGCCGGTCATGGAGGCAAGTCCCTTTCCGACAGCAAAGGCGGCCGCACCGCTTGCTCGCCCAGCCTCATGGCCCGAGGCTTTAGCGCGCTTGTACTCTTTCCAGGGATCGATGAACGTGCCTCCCAGAGCAAATGTAAAGTCGGTTACAGTGCCCAGTAGGGAAGAAGCTCCCCCAGTAATGGGATCCCAACGCTTGACGTCAGTGTTGTATTCTCGCGAATGGAACGGCTTGAGGTCGGTATCTCTGAGCTTCCGAGCTTCGACCAGATACATTGCGGCTTGGTTTGAGAGTTTTAGCTGTTTTCTGCCTGATTTATACTTCTTCTCATAGGTCCATGCTGCGGGTTGATCGGGCAGAAAGTCGCAAAATAGACTGGACGGTAGGTTTCTGTGAAAAGATTTAACGGCAGCATCGACACCGCGTTCTTGCCGCATGATCCCTGCAACATCCTCTGCAGCCCGCTTTACGGCTGAGGATAGGCAGAACTTAATAGCTGCTGTCAGTCGCTCTACGCTCAACTCTTTTTGCGGGATGGGTGGGGGTCCAGCGCCGGTGTTGGCGACGACTCGCCCCCAGAACGGCTGATCACCGAAAAAAGGCACAATGACAGTCGGCCTGGCGTTGATGAGGCCGCAAGCTGTTGTCCCTGCCCCTCCGTGGTGAACCACTGCTGACACTCGCTTAAAGAGCCATTCATGTGGGCAGTCATCCAAATAAAACACCTCACTTGTGTTGTCGTTTCCCTCGCCCAGCTTGCTCCACCCCCGCGAAATTATCACGCGCGTGTTGCACAACTTTGCGGCCTCCAGAATGATATTCGTCAGACGGGCTGGATCGTCGATTACAATGCTGCCGAAGCCAATGTACAATGGAGGGTGGCCCGATGCAAGAAAGGCGTCCAAGTCAGCTGGCGGCTTGAATGAAGGTTCATCCCTCATGAAAAAGCCGCAGACCTCAATCTCAGGGCCCCAATCAGCCGGCTTAGACACCACAGCGGGCGACCAGCAATACGTGTGCGGTATCTTGAGAAAAGTCGTGATTCCAGGCCCCATGCTAGCTGCTATCGGCGCAAGCTCAAGGTCCTTGCATCGCCAAGAGTTGATCACATCGCCCAAACCCTGCCAGGTCATCAGCTCAACAACGCCATACGAGAGCCAATTCGTCGTCTGCGGCTCAAGGTTGTTGTTGGGCTGGATATTGACGAGCGGGTGAGGAAAGGCGCGGGTGGCCGTCCACGGCATCGTGAACATGATGTGTACCGGGATGGCAAGGGCTTGTGCACAGTGAACGTGGGCGAAACTGGGAGGGTTGGCGATGATGGAATCTGCGACGAACGGTTCATTGCTAACAGGATCGGGCTCAACGCAGGATCGCCAAAATCCGCGAAGCATGTCGCGCATCATCATGCGCTTTCTTGCGACATCGCCCCCTCTCAGTGACTCAATTGACGGAATTAGGCCTGGGTTTCGTACCATATACTCCCAAAAATCAGCGGCTGAAGCAGAAAACGGGCCGAAATACTATATGTGGTGAAGCAAAGTGCTAGACGTAGGCATGTATTCAAAGTAATAGATTGAGTGGCTTGTCTTCTCCTAACTATACTATGGAACGATATCGTACCTAAATATGTTTTATAAGCGAAGCGGAATAAAGATATTCTAGTTATTCCATTTCAGGATTATCCCTATAGGCGATATGTAGGTTACGTAATAGTGAGGCTGCGTACTTCGCCTCGAAGGTATCACGATATACCCCCCTAGACGCGCCTGCGTCTATATATAGTTAATTCTCCTTATTTTCCTACTACCTATATTACTAAATTTATAATAAATTAGCTAAAATAGCTATTTTTAAATATAAATCTAATAAAGGAATTAATAAAAGAGATATAATTAAATACGTTATATTATATAAAGGAAAAGTAGTTATCTTTATATACTATTATAATAAGTAATTAAAGTAGGTATATTACTAAGGGGTATACTTACCTTTATAGTTTAATAAGTATAGTTACTTTCTTAAAGTAAATTATTATATTTAAGGGAAATTCTTCTACTACCTACCTACGAAATTTTTTCTTTCCTTAATAATTATAATAAATATATATATGAATTGCTAAAATCGCTTATTAACGCTATTTATATAACTACGTATATAGTTAGCTACTTATTTTCGATCGTTTACTAATTATATTAATAGAAACTAATTAATTATAATGCCTCCTAAGAAGACTAAGGCTAAGCATACGGCTATAACTAT